TATATATTTATGTGTGTGTGTGTTTATATATATTTATATATGTTTTTGTTTGTGTGTGTGTTTATATATATTTATATACATGTGTGTGTGTGTGTGTGTGTGTTTATGTATATATATATATATGTGTGTGTGTGTGTATGTTTATATATGTTATATATATATATTATATATATATATTATATATATATATGTTATTTACTTGTGTGTGTGTGTGTGTGTTTGTGTTAGTGCTGGTGTTGCGTCTCCTCGTGTGGAGCTCCTGCACAACATTGACCCGCTGTATGAGGACTCGTCTCCCTGTGAGTGACTGAAGCTTCACCTTCAGCAGATGCAGGAGCAGCGCACGAGCACTGACGTGTGTATGTGTGTGTCATTCAGGTCCTGGAGGAGAGGGTGTGTTCCTGGAGGACTCTTTACACTCCTCGTCTTCATCCTCCTCATCTTCATCGTCTGGTGTTTCTGCACAGTTCAACATCTCCATTCACGCCGCCATTCGCTACAAGAACTGGAAACTGCTGACGGGTTACCCAGGTAATGGCTGTGTGTGTGTGTTTACTGATGACATCACACACTTTCATTCCAAGATAATACAGCAGACACACACACACACACACACACACACACACACACTGCACCTGCTGCAATAAAGAGCTTATATTAGGTTAAACTAGAGTGTGAAAATAATAGTGTGTGTGTGTGTGCGCGTGTGTGTGTTCCTCCGTCAGGCTGTCCGCTGTGGATTCCTCCCCCTGGTGGTCGTCCGGTAAACGCGTCGGAGCCGCTGAAGCAGGTGATGCTGTTCGACGTGGAGAAGGATCCTGAAGAGCGGCTGGAGGTGTCGCACCAGCGGCCGGAGGTGGTGTCCTTCCTGCTGCGCCGCCTGCAGCTCTACCAGAACCAGGCCCAACCTATCCACTTCCCCCCCGATGACCCCCGCTGTGACCCGGCCACCACTGGAGCCTGGGGACCCTGGGAGTGATCCTGGACACTGGAGAACCAATCAGATGGCTCCTCTGATGCAGAACTGCTGTGTGTGTGTGTTATGTGTTTGTGTGTGTGTGTGTGTGTGTGTGTGTGTGTGTTATGTGTTTGTATGTGTTTGTGTGTATGGAAGAGATTTAAATGTGCGTGTGTGTGTGTGAGGGAGTCTGTGAGTGTATGTGTATGAGACTTAATGAGGGACTGTGTGCGTGTTTGTGTATGAGAGAATATGTGTGTGTGTGTGTGTGTTTGAGAGTATGTGTGTGTGTGTGTGTTTGTGTGTGTGTGTGTGTTTTTGAGAGTGTGTGTGTTTGAGATTTTGTGTGTGTGTGTTGAGATTGTACTGTATGTGTGTGTGTGTTTGAGATTTTGCATGTGTGTTTGAGATAGTGTGTGTGTGTGTGTGTGTGTGTGCACGTGTTTGGGATAGTATGTGAGTGTTTGTGTGTGTTTGTGTGTGTGTTTGAGATAATGTGGGTGAGTGTGTGTTTGTGTTTGAGAGTGAGTTTGTGTAGGTTTAAGATTGTGTGTATGTGTGTGTTTTTGAGATTGTGTGTGTGTATGTGTGTGTGTGTGTGTGTGTGTTTCGTTTTAATCAAATTCAGGTCAGAGTTGTTGAAGTATTGGACTGCTTTTATCGTGTGCTGAATCAGATGCTGTGAGCGGGTCATTGCTGTATTTTCAGCAGGTCGGAGGATTAATGTTGATCTCAGTAAACAGAACTGAACTGAAGCGGAAGCTGCAGGGATAATGATTCTTCATCAGCAGAGTTGTTCATGTGACTCGTTTGCTGTATTCTGAATCTTCTAAATCAAATGACTCTGTGAGTGAATAAACTGAGTCACGATTCCTTGATCATTTTCTCATGTTTGGCTTTTCTGCTCACTCAGATTAATAAAACTCATCCAAACATCAGTGAATCTCCTGTGTGTGCTGAATCCAGTGCGGGTGAATCATCTGAAGATTCGTTCATTTGATTCTTTATAAAGAGCTGTGAACAAACAGACTGAATCATGAGCTTGAGTTTCAGACTGAGGGAGGTGAAATTCTGTCAGGTCAGTGTGTGTGTGTGTGTGTGTGTGTGTGTGTGTGTGTGTGTGTGTGTGTGTGTGTGTGTGTGTGTGTGTGTGTGTGTGTGTGTGTGTGTGTGTGTGTGTGTGTGTGTGTGTGTGTGTGTGTGTGTGTGTGTGTTGTATATCCTCTAATATGCAGGCGTGTGTATCATGTGACTCCTGAATCACATTAGTGTGATGCTCAGAATAGAGTCTCAGTGATGTTATTAAGAGTGTCTGCTTCTCAGGAGGTCTCTGCATCATCATCTGCTTTCTCAGAGGCTCGAAATAACAGCAACAATAACAGTTCATCTCTCCCTGCATTCAGTTATTAGATCAAAAATACAGTTAATATTGTACATTTTAAAATATGTCATTCATTCATTCATTCATTCATTCATTCACTCATCCTCCTTCAGCTGAGTCCCTGTATTAATCAGGGGTCGCCACAGCAGAATGAACCAACAACTTATCCAGCAAGTGTTTTACACAGCGGATGCCCTTCCAGCTGCAAGCCAGTACTGGAAAACACCCACACACACACACACACTCACACTATGGCCAGTTTAGTTCAATTCCCCTATAGCGCATGTGTTTGGACTGTGGGGGTGTGTTTGTGCGTTGTGTGTACGTGTGTGTTTGTGTGTGTTTGTGTGTGTGTGTGTGTGTGTCTATTTGTGTGCATTTTGTGTGTGTGTGTGTGTGTGTGTGTGTGTATTTGTGTGCATTTTGTGTGTGTTTGTGGGTGTGTATTTGTGTGCATTGTGTTTGTGTGTGTGTGTGTGTATATGTGTATTTATGTGCATTGTGTGTATGTGTGTGTTTGTGTGTGTGTGCATTGTGTGTATGTGTTTGTGTGTGTGTGTGTGTGTGTGTGTGTGAGTGTGTGTGTGTGTGTGTGTGTGCATTGTGTGTATGTGTGTGTTTGTGTGTTTGTGTGTGTGTGTTTGTGTGTTTGTGTGTGTGTGTGTCAAATCTGATCCAGTAGTTTTCTGCTTCCTGTAAGTCTTCAGTGTGTGTGTGTGTTTGCGTCTATGTGTGTGGATTTGTTTGCATTGTGTGTGTGTGTGTGGGTGGGTGTGGATTTGTTTGCATTGTGTGTGTGTGTGTGTGTGTGTGGATTTGTTTGCATTGTGTGTGTGTGTGTGGGTGGATTTGTTTACATTGTGTGTGTGTGTGTGTGTGTGTGTGTGTGTGTGTGTGATTGTTTCCATTGTGTGTGTGTGTGTGTGTGTGTGGATTTGTTTGCATTGTGTGTGTGTGTGTGTGGATTTGTTTACATTGTGTGTGTGTGTGTGTGTTTGCGTGTATGTGTGTGGATTTGTTTGCATTGTGTGGGTGTGGGGGGGTGTG